CCGGAGTGGCAGTCGGAGCCCAAACATCAGGCAACTCGTTCTTGTCCAAGGGCATCTGACATGGCCAACTTGGAAGTTCTTCAGGCCATTCATCTAGGCGAACTGCTAGGTGACCGCAGGTGGAAAGATACAGCTGTGAGGTGGTGCTCAAAGCCCTATAGATCATCTTGCCCGTTGAAATGTCCGGGATGGCATCGAGTGTGGTCATGGTGTGGCGTGACATCAAAGCGGGTGCATCTTCTTCAACACATGAGAAAAACATCACACAAAAATGACCTCCAAGACCTGCTGGGTATGCATACCTTTCTCTTGATCGTGAACTCTTGCTCGGACCAAAACGAAAAGCACAGTTTTCCACGAAAAACAGTCTGGGGAGCTGCACGTGGTTGAGATGGAGCTCATGCCATCGGCGGCCAGCCACTTGTCGCTGACAGCCAGTGTCCACTATGGCCAGGCATGGCTCGTCCGTGTACTGCATCATGTTGGTGATTGGGGGTGCACGAAACAAATGATCATGCGGCTTGCCCTCAGCGTCCTTTTCAGGAACCGTTGCCATCGAGGGGCGCAGCAAGGACGGTGGCTTCAAAGACATGGATGAGGTGGAAACCATTTCCACCCGGTAGTAGCCTTCCGTTCTGAAGCTGCTGGGCATAGCTGAAGTGCTTGCCGCACCTGAAGTGTGTCTCATCCGCATCAGCGGATGTTCATTCAGAGGCCTGGCTGGCCTTCCACTCTCATCGTCAGCTGAGAGTCCCTCAAATGCCATGGCGCGCGTCCAAGGTGAAGGCGGCGAAGGTGCCGCTTGGGGAGCCGACTGTGCGGCTAAGAATGGGTACCCCTCTAGGGTAAGTGATGGACAGCCTATGTCTCTCGAGGTCCTCGGGTCCTCTCCCCGTTGTTGTTCTACTCTTGAGGTCCTTGGGTCCTCGCCCCATTGTTGTTCTTCTCTTGAGGTCCTTGGGTCCTCACCCCATTGTTGTGTTCTTGAGGTCCTTGGGTCCTCTCCCCAATGAACATGACGTGGAAAATCATGAGATGAAGCTGCTACGCTGGACAAAAGCAAAGGGGGTGAACCGAAAGCACCAAAAACCTCAAGAGTGGCTTCACTAGGAGCCTCGCTCTGAGCGTCATGAAATTCGCTCGGAGCTCTGCTTGGTGCACAAGAAGCAAATTCGGACTCTGTGGCCCGAGCGGTTCGAAAAGAACCTGTTGGTGAAGGAAGCTCCCTCATTCCTGGGATGTTGCCATTCTCGTCCATGAGGGCGTTCAAGCTCTGAGCTTCTTGTCGCCAGAAAGCCATGCCGTCTTCATAGTCGGCATAGTCGTCGGGATTCCATCCATCTGGAACCAGAGCTTCCCAGGGCGGCAGGCTGTCATCATCAGTCATGACCTGCCTCGGCGGAGGCGGCGGAGGTGGTTCTTCCTCGTCTCGCCTGCTCAGCGTTGAAGGTGCCGAAGACGATGAAGGCGTGGGATCAGGCTCAGGCTGCCATCCAGGCATTTTGTTGTGGCTTGCCGTCCAAACCACAGTGCCATCTCCATCCAGGGTGGATGAAGCCGAGCACACATGAGCTTGGTGCTGTGTGACATGAGGGCATTCGCGGAGCCAGTGATCTGAGGCACCGCAACCCAGGCAGAGACTGGCCTGCATGCGCTGCCGCTGAGTGGGGTTCATCTTGGACTTCCCACCCTTTGAACCGGCTTTGGACTTGCCGGACCCTTTTCCTTTGGAAGTGGTCGTAGGCGAAGAAGAGGATGTAGTTCCCTTCTTACCAAAGCCCTTGTCCTTGCCAGCACCTTTTCCATGGCCTTTGCCCTTGCCTTTGTCTTTGGCAGTGGTGTAGTAGCCCCTTGACTGCATGGTTGCAGCCAGGCGCTTGCTTGTGGCCGTCATGGCCTGGTGTTCATCGCCAGCGTCATCGCCGGCCTCATGTTCAGGGAGTTCATCGGGCTCGAACTCCTCGGCTGCGGCTGCATAGTCATCAGCCTGCTCATCATAGTCAGCGAACTGGTAGTCGAAGGTGTCGTCGTTCGGGTCGTCCTCATACTGCGGGACTTCATCGCCGGCAGTCATGAAGACCTCCTCAACTGGGTCGTCATCTGCAGGCATGGCCTCGGTGTGCCATGTCTTCCAGCGGAAACTTCCGCCTCTTCCTCGACCTCGGGGCTGATGTCCTCGGCCTCGATGTCGTGGCGCTGAGGCGACGTGAACAGGGACTGGATGTCGTGACATCCCCGTCAGCGTCAGCCCTGCTGGATATTGGATGTGGATCGCTTCAACCAGCGCTTGGAAGCTGTAGCGATTGCCGGCAGCTAGGAGCAATTGCGAAGTGGCACGTTCGTCAAGGCGTAGACCATCGAGCAGCTTAACCGCTCGTGTCTCGTCCGGATAAGGAGGGACCTGGGCGTCCTTGAGCTTCCTCTCATAGAGCCTGAACCTTCGAAGAAAGGCGCAGACCGACTCTCCCTGGACCCTTGTCAGGGATTCGTACTCGCGGATCAGTCCTCCGCGTCGAAACAGCTCGCGCTCGCCAAAGCTGATCTCAAGATCATCGAGGAGCTGCTGGATCCCGGTCTCCTTGTTGTAGCGCTCGTCGTCCACCTCTTCGAGCTCCAAGGCGGCCTCGCCAGTGAGCGCGTCAAGCGCTCTCAAGGCCTGTTCGTTGGCCGGCAAAAACTCTTTTGTAATCGTCGTCCACCGTCGCAAAGCACGACGGTAATCTCGCAAGCAGTAGGGTTCGTCCTCCACGTTCCCCGCGAAGGTCGGCGGGGCAGGGATGTGGCCTGATCGCCACTTGCGAGAGCCTTGACCAGTTTGGCCTTGTTGCGAAGGGCGTGAGCCTCTCGATCCTCTTCTCCTAGAAGGAGCTGCTGAAGAGGCCGGGCTGCCATTCGGACCCAAGGGACGAGCTGGTCCTCCACCATCATCCAGGTCATCGAAGTCGTAGACCTGGTCATCATCATCTCCATCATCCTCCATGGGATCAGCTGGGATCGCGCCATCATCGATGGCTGCGTCTCGAAACTCAGCCGCGCCATCAAAGTCCTCGTAGAGCTCATCGAAGAACATCAGGCAGCGAACCTGAGGAGCAGCGGCGCTGACCTTTGCCGCGCTACCAATGCGATTGTTCGGCCCTCGACGGAGCCTGGCCCCTGGATCTACAGCGCTTGCTTCTCAAGCTCGCTTTTCTCCAAAGGCGTCGATGTCGACATGTGCGTGCCCACCCTTCTAGTGCATTGGAGGTTAAATGGCAACAGGATCATGGCATGAAGTGGCATGACTGAACATGAAAATCTCAGCTATAATATGATATATAATGATATACAAATATATATATATATATTATATATTATATTATATTAGTGCCTTATCTTTTCTCAATGCCCCGAACATCTACCGAATCTATGCGCACGTCACAGCGCACTCACTGCCGCAGCATGCTGCGCCTAATTGAGAGACTTTGAGCTCCTTCACGCGCAAGTCCACTGCCTTAGCCATCGACTTGGCCGGGAGAAGTGAGTAAAAAACTGTCCTGCAGTCATGGTTCACCTAGAGACCGACTGGTTGACCTGGAGGGCCAATGAGACATGGTGGAACAGGGGGCTCCAAGTGACCCAGGACGGAACACACGAGTGCAGCTGACACAAACTCTGAATCAGTTCAAAGAGGACTGGTCAAATCTTCCCAGGAACAATTTATTCAACATAATCATCTGAAACGAGGTCAACAACTCTTAGTCTATGTGATAAAGAACTTGCCGGGCAACCCATGGGACTTGGTGATTAAAGCATCTTTCATGGAACAGGACCCGACGAGCAGGACCCTACATACACCCATCTCCTTCACTTGGTCAGTGTCTCAAATGTTGGTCGCCTCATGTCATCTTGCAAGGTGGAACCTGTCTCTCCAGGCAGATTTCGGAGATCCAATGCCCAGGATCCAACGTTAACTAGCCACACCAGCCGAGCCGATGACTGCTCATCCGCTGACCGCTCGACCGGCTGTGCGAGGTGCGAAAAGACCAGCTTGCACCGTTGCACCAGGTGCGCCACTGAACTTGCCCTGGCGTCAGCATGGACGCTACGAACGGGGCTCCTGGCCATACTACTAGGAACAATGGAATTCAATAGAATTAGAAGGTCAAGTCTTTGATCTCAACAGCACCCAGTCCGGGCTGCTGACACGGGGACGGTCGGTATCGTCGTCACGTGGGACGGGCTCCCGAATCCGAAACACCTGGACCTCCAGCGGTCCGTAGTTTGTTTCGGCAAGGGCTCCCGAGCTGCATTGATCGCATGCAGTGTTGCGTGAATCAAGAATTACATCATATGTGGCGATTTTCGACTGGGTTTCGATGCTGGGTGTATGACTCATAAAGAGTATCTTCCAAAACATCAAAAACAAGTTTGATGGGATCCCAACTTGGGAGATACACCGACACACCCACTTGAAATTCTTTTTCCAAGCAACTTGAGTTGAAACACCTCCAAAGTATTTAAGAAGTTGGTTGTTAAAAGAAAATCACTACCAGATTCCCTGGATCAAAAGTGACGATCAACACCAATCGATCTGATGCCGACCATGAACTTTTGATGTAGGGCCAACCAAACGATACCAAGAGCTCGGTATCAATCTGGAAAGTACAAAGTTCACACTCACACCAGCAAGCCAGTGATAAAAATGTGCGGATATGTGCGGCATGTTCTGGTGTCCGCTATTGTGACTTCGACCCAACTTCTTCCCAAACCCACAGGTCCGCGCGCTTGCATCTTTTGCACTCAACTCGGTGGTTTTTATTTGCCCAGCAGCTGCCCTTTTCCACAATGGCCGTCACGAAGATGGCCACCGAGTGACTTCATCTCCAAGAAAGGCAAAACTGAGTATACAGTATAATCATCCTTCTTTTTCTGGTCTTTTCAATCCGAATGCACTCGATCAAAGCCACCTATGCAAACATCTTTCGAAGCACAAGATGACTCTTGCAGAGGTTCGCGTTCACTCAGAACTTCTTCGTGGAACCCACGTGGCCCAAAGTTCCAAAGGCCCAGTCCCACAACCAGAAATTCTCACCGAAGTTCTTCGCATTCTTTGCATAGTTCGAGTACCTGTGATGCGCATCGTGATTGGCGACCCCTGCGCGGCCTGGGAGGAACTTCAAAAAGACCAAGTTCAGAAGCCAATGCTCCATACCACAATGGTTCAACACATTCTCCGCCACACGAGCATATGCATATGCACAGAAGGTCAGAGGGTGTGGCTGCATCAGCACCGCAGCTCCCATAGTCGGGATACCAGCTTGCACTGTGGCATCTAATCCATCAATGCATGCGGTGCTCACGGCCGTTGGTGTGTCAATCAAGTGGTGGTACTTGTGGTAGTCCCACAAATATTCATGTAGAATACGATGGCCAACGTATAGGAAGAAGTCACCTCGTCATGCAGAAGTCGGTGTTTCTTCCGATCTGAGGCGACATCTTCTGATCATGATGCTCATGATGTACTTTATAGATTCTTTATAGATGGAAGTTTCCCCCAGCGAAACCCAGCGCAAGAGCAAACTGACATCCACGTGAAGGGTGTCCTTTTTTCCTTTTGGAGGTCTTGCAAGTGGGTCCGTTCACTGGCAGGTCCGTTTGTTCGGTCTGCTTCCCCGGAGATCTCTCTTGTTCCGATCTCGGCCACCCCGCGCGTCCACCCCGCGCACGCACGCACAGGTTCGTTCGCCCTGGACAACCCCGCGGTGAGTGCGAACGTTCCGCCAGCGAGTGACCCAGGAGTTCCATCGCCAGAAAGCGAAGAAGGAAATCTTTGAAGCCTGGAAGAAGTGGAAATGACTTCCTGCCAGGCTTTGGTTCATGGACCTCCAAAGAGACGATTTGAAGGTATGCCATAGATTCTTTGGGGAAATCGGACTGCTTTACTTTGGTGTTGCCCAAAAAAGATACGAAGGTGGCTGATCCCTCTCTGTTCGAGATTGAATTGCAGGTCATGTTAGGGTGCCGGGATCGTGGACGGCCCGGGAAATAGCCACTGATCCAAGGGAGGGGGGGTAGAATGTGGAACATGTGACCCAGGTCTTTGCCAAGTCTCCCTGTCGCCACCAAACGAGGGAAGGCCAAAGCAGTGAGGCACACATTGCAGAGTGCCGTGGGGCCCAGCATAGTCCAACACGCCACGCGAAGCTGTTTCCAAAAGGAGATCCTGAGACTGTGGGCAGGATGACACCCATCTTTTGGAGGATCTACGGGTCTCCGTGACCCTCGATCAGTTTAACATTAAGTCATTGACTTAAAGATCTTAAAGAAAAAGCAGGTCGAGCTGATGCCAGGAGTGGGGCTGGGAGTGCTTCAGCTCTCCAGTCTCGGATCCTGTGTTGACCCTCTCGACTCAAAGTTCCTGGGGAGGCCCCGATCCATGATATTCATTGGTACGATGTGTTTTCCACTGTGTTTTCCTTGTTTCGGTCGCATCACCTTTGAGGTTCAGTTGTCCACTGTCGATCGCACTTGAAAAAGGAAGAAACAAAAGGATCATCACTTCGATCCCTTCGATCACTTTGTCACGACCCGGCAAAGCACTTGTAGACTGGTCAGACCGGTTCCTTGGCTTCCGGTTCTCGAACGGGCGAGCGTTCAGCGAAAGGATCTTCTCTTCTGTGGCCTTCAAGGCCTCCTCCCGTGGCTTCTCATACCTCACTGGTCCAAGTCGACAGCTGGGAAGCAACAGCTTGTTGTACATGAACATACAAACTATGCAACCAAATAACATCAGAGTCCAGTGACCTAAATCAGGGTTCGCTGGTACAAAAGATTATCCAACTGTCCAAGCAAGCTGCTCAATAAAGGACCCACGCACACCACACCAATTCGTGCGAAGCAGCTCCAGGAGCCCAGCAGTGCCTCAGTTAGTTGATCCCAAGCACCTTCTCAGGTGATGTATAGACAGTTGATGAAAACAAAAACCATCTGGATGGCCAAACGTCTCCATAAAATTAAGGGCGGTTGCATTCATCAATAGACAGTCTACAGTAGGCGCAGCCCCTCCAAACCTATCTGAGACATCCAAGCACCTTTCGGACATGGTCTGCGGATGACCAAATCGACTGGTCCAGAGTGACCAGTCAAGTGATGAAGCCACGTTGACGGTTGACGGACGGTTGGTCCAGGCGAAGAGGTTTCAATACGGTAATTACTGTAACTCCTTGAACCTCTTCAGTCAGTACACCTGCTAGACTGTATCATTGCAAGGTTTTGCGAAATGCCGAAGTAGCACCGAAGTAGCCCAGATTCACGGCCACGAAGGGTCCCAGGCCCCAGCACAAGCAGTCGTTGTCCAGCCAACGGCGCAGCAACTCATCAGGCGATCGAACTCGCCACATTGGCACCGGAAATAAAAGGGTTTCGAAGCACCGGGAATCCTTTTGAGGAAGAAGAGATTACATGAGTTTACCATTTTTGCTGGCTTCAGGTGCCATGTTGAGGCAAAAAGTGCTAAGGGGGGTTGAAGGTTTAAGGCTTAAGGATGCTTCAGTGATAAGTTCTAAGGGACACCTGGATCATTTACAATGAGTCTTCTCTTTTCTAACCTGCACCATGGCAAACATGGCTGATGTCCGTCGGCGCAGCAGGCGGCATGGTGCGGCATGGTGCGGTGGTCTATGGTGTTCTTACATATGGTCCTTGTGGCACCAAAGACTTGATCTCAAATGGGTTCAATTGGATGATGTTGGGATCAAGTCCTCAGAACCGGTTGAATGGGAACGTGGGGCGGATCTCGATGTCCCATTGAATTGATTGGGTTCAACCTCAAATGGCGCCCGAAATAAGGATGACGCCACATTGCGTCCTCAGCCCCGAATTCAGCATACCGAGAGACCCCGCCAACATGGAAACTCTCCAAGCCAGCCTCCATACTACCCCTCATGTATGGAGGCTGTTCTTTTTGGAGGTTTTCCAAGGGTGTCTGAGGGAGCCAATGAATGAATGAATGAGTCCAGGCGATTCCGGGAGTTGCTTCGCTGGCTCCCTTCAACCTGATCGATCTTCCAATTTCAGAAAATGTGAGAATGAGGAGTTCCCGTAATAGTTCCCTTCCATATCTTCCAGTAGCCCCGAAGTGGGCAGATCTGGTCATCCGTTCAACATCGTTGAACACCTGTTGGTGCGGCAGGAAAAACACCTGCAGTTCCAAAAGCCAAGGGAAGCATGATGAAACATGCAAACAGATCTGTGCAAACGGCTCAAGCTCCTATAGCTGGTCCCTTTTTCGTCAAATCGTTCTTCCCCCCAAAAAGACAACACCTATTCCTCTAATTTCCTATCTGAGAATCATTGATCCTCCACCCATCCAGGATCTTTCCTCCATCTCTCCAGCCGTCCAGGTCCATCTCTCCAGCGGCCTGGTGGAAGGGATTGCCTTCCTCCAAGACCTTGGGAACCGATGACCGGGACGACCAAACCAAACACCGATGACGGATCACCCACTCAACCGCGCGTACCGAGACCAAACACCGGTGGATGATGTAAACCGCGCGTGAACCGTGTGGGTGTCCAACTCTGAGAATCTAAGGAGAGTTCAACAAACCACATAAACTAGGAGCAAGAACGCTACGTTCGGGGCTCCTGGCCTTACTACTAGGAACAAGAAGCTATTAGAACGGTGAAACTAGTGAAAAGAGATAAACTAGTGAACTTCTCAGAACCTTCTGAATCAGCAGGTACAGTATAGGTACAGTAGTTAGACCCACCCACCCAAACCATTCCAAACCACCGAAGCAAAATGGAGGTAGTTGGAGCCCTAGGGATTATGCATCTATGATCATCTATGATCATCTATGAATATATTATATATAATATACATATAACATATATCTATTACATATCATAAGTGTTTTCAAGTGCGTTCACTCTAAGCCCTGCGTATTTGCTATGAAAAAGCCAGACATCAGTGAGATCACCAAAAGACACAAGCCCCCAAACAACACGTGAGTCTGTTCCACAGTCGGTTCCACTTCCGCTCTGAGGCGATTGAAGGCACACCGCCCGAACCCTTTGGAAAGGCAGTGACGTCACTAATATCATATCATGCTCTAAGAAGGACATAGGACATCCTTGCAGATGGTGTCCATCCATGTTGAGACTTCTGCGACATGGGACCACTGCAATATATTTGTAGGACCTATCAGAACCCCGCTGTAGCTCCTGGTCCGGAATATGAGACTCCAAGCCCTTGATTCACTCCTTGGGAGTACGACCCTGAAGAGAAGGCGCCTCTCTAATCCCACACCCCTTCACTGTAACTTCGTCCACTACCTTCCACCTCCATCTGCTCCACGTTCCAGCTTGGCCAAGCGGCAGCAGTTGAGGCGACCTCCGCCATCGTGGTCTCCTGTCCCAGCGAACACCGGAAAGACTGGGCCGGCGAACTACCTCTGGCTGATTGATGTTGGGATTCAATCAACAACTTGAGAGAGGAGGGGGTGAACGAAGCAGGCAATACATTTTTGCTTAGGCAAGGAGAACTCAGGTAGCCTGAGGCTACCTTTCGTGACTTTACTGAACATTTTCTTTTCTGGATGACATGAATGTGAACTCTTGAAAAAAACAGAACAACACCTCCGAAGTGGCTGACATGAGACATCTCTCGATGGGCATCTCCTCTTCCAACAAGAAAAACATGAACATCTGCGTCCGCATGCATGGCAGCATCGTCCGCATGTCATTGATTGATAGAGACCCCAGTGTGACCAGGCCATAGTTTTTTCCGGCTTCCAATGCAAATGGGGTAATTAAATATGTAACTTATACTGAAACTTAGGAGTCACCATTCCAGTCCCATCGGTGGTCTGGGCAAGACATCAATTTTGGGGAGGCCAATCAATGGTCTTGATAGCTGGTCTGCTCGAGTGGCTCACTCAAGGGCTAAAACGATGACCAAATACAAGGAGAGAGAGAGAGAGAGCAAAAGAAAGAGAGAGAGAGAGAGACAAACAAACACAAAGAGAGAAAGACTCTTCATCATCTTCATCCAGCTCGAATAATTTTGGTTTTCAGACCCAATCGCTTGCCGTGGCGGCGAGAAACTAATTCGGTAGTAGCCGACCGATCCCCTCTCCTCCGCAGCACAACAGCAAAACATGGCCACCGTGCGTCTCTGTCCGCACGTTCGCGCGGCGAGTAAGGACGAGTAGCACAAAAAAGGGACTTCGTACGTCTGTTTGCTGAGCCAAGAGACGCATTGGCAGGCGTTTTCGTGCATGAAAACTAAAAACAGCGATTAAGGTTTCACCAGGTTTAAAATGAGGTCCAAAGCACTTAGTGCTTCACTTCGGCTACGGGTCCACGAGTCATGCAGACCTGGTTTGGGCAATCACAGAACCATTTGAATTAAGATATTAAGTTATAAAGTTATACTGAAGTGTTTCATGATCCGAATGTTAGGGAAACGATGGAAGGCAAGGAGTTCAAGAATAAAATATTACATTATTACATTATGACATGTTCAGTTTCACAAATAGATTGTCGCATGGGTCAACCGAGCTGGGTTGGCACCCAATATTGAGTGAGTCAGAGGTCCCTCTTTGGGTCAATAACTCCTGCATCGGTGGGTGCGCACCAAACTACTTAGGGCGAGCGTTCATGTATACACAATGCAGAACAGGTCCATACACCCACAACATCAGTTGGTTCTCTCTGTGTTGAGATGGTACGGTATATATAGACGGTATAGATATAATTTTCGTGATACACCGCAAATTGATGCAGCTGCCTCTAACCTTTCAAGTGATTAGTCTTTCTCAGTGAGGAAAAGTAAGATCTGTATGACATGTTTCCCAGGTTTTTCTCTGGCAAGCCAGAAATCAAGGGCCTGGGCCTGGACCTTGTGCTCCACAAAAGGGTCATGCCATGCCTGACCCTCTGGAGGCAACCTTGGCAGTGACTCCAAACTGCTCCAAGCCGCCGTTCACCCCGCCGTTCATCCCGACTCAAGGAACCTGAACCCATGGGGCGACCCCGAACTCTATCCGAACCTGGTCGATTCACCGGTTCGCTTCGGTGACGGGAGTCCCGATGTGCTAAGCCTTCGGTCAGTCCTTCACCTGGCAGAGATACCCCACTGAAAACTCACTCATAGACCCTGAAAGCCACTGGTGCAGCTAGAGGAAAACAGTCTCTTTTTAAGGGTACCATTCGACCCAGGTCCATGTTAGTTTTCGGCAGTGTAAGGACCTCATGTAGTACTATTCCAAAGCAGCAGACTGCTGTGCCCGGCTGTGCCCCTGGAGATGACAACGCAGGAAGGCCTGCACTTGCACTGCTCCTGGCTGGCGACCTGGGGATGACAATAGGGAGCCATTCAAGATGACCATCATCCTTATAATCTCTTGACAAATGATTTAATTAATGTTGAACCTGCTTGGTCACTCTTCAAATCTCTTCCAACAACCAAACCTACCAGGATACCTGGATGAGATGTTCTTGCAAGAGATTTGACTAGTAGTCGACTGCAAAGAGATCACCAAGGCGCCCATCGTCGATTAAGAAGCTTCTCGAAATCATTGCCCATCGTCGGACAGAATTTCCCTCGCGTTTAAGCCAGATGTCATGTCCCACAAACGGTGCCACTGTCGTCTGGGAGGTTTTCTGTTCTCCTCTAGACCAACTCCAAGACGTGTCCATCAGAAGTACTCGTAGAACATCATAGAACCACAGTCTTCCGTTGCTTTTGTGCTGGCAGAACGCTCCTCCAAAGCATTCCATTATCAAACGTCCAGAACATGGCCAGAACATGGCCAACATGCATGGCCAGAAACATCCCTTCAATCCCATGAACTCTCCTTTTGGATCCTTTGGGCTTCATCTGAACAAGCTTCCCCAACATCTCCAAAGACCTCTCCAAACACCACTCTAAAACCCCCCCCGGCCGCGCCATGTGTTCTCGGTCGAAGAGCTCTCTCCGGTCTCGGCCCGGGACCGTCGACCGCCACGGCGCCGTCTCGTTCCAAGCGGCGGATGGCTCCGCTCGGCGGCTCTCTCCGGTCTCGGCGAGCTCCGTGGACCTTGCGGAAGTCAATGCAGCCAGCGCAGTCACAGTGATGGAGTCCAAGACCACACCTCGGAGGTCACATTTGGGGGAGGCGACCTGCAGGTGTGGGTTTGGGCGACCTGCAGGTGGGGCCAGCCATGTGATCCATGTTTCGAGCACGCCAAAACAGGTTCGAACAGGTCTGACTTCCGCTGGAGGGATGGATGTGCCTGATTTGTTTGATCGGACAAGTGAGGGAGTGGTTGAAAACAACCATGCAGCACAAAAAGTGGGTCAGGTTTCCAGAGGCCAAGGGTGCAAACCAAAAGGTTTGGTGGAGTTCTGTGAACAAATCACTCTGATCGTTTCCCACTAAAGGTTCTGACCAATTGGCCCGGAGGTGGAGGCGACAGCTCGGCGAGGTCGCAGAATCGGATGAGATCGATCTTCTCAAGCGACTCAGTGTTGGCCACTTCTGGGTGTGTATTGTAATAGGGAGACTCCCAATCAACCCTGGCTGGGTAGACTGGTCTATTTCCCGAACCTGGACGAATAGAATCGGAACGCCGGGGGAGGTCTCCCAACGGTTGAGCGCCTCACAACCGTATCAACCGCTACTAGGTCGGAGGCCATTGCTATAGGTTGGAGGCGTTTCCTCCGGAGCGTCCAGCCAACTGGGCTGCCCAGCCAACCGGTCAAACTGCAACAGGGAGCATTCCGCAAAAAGGGCCTTACTGCGAAGGAAAAACATGTATAAAACATGACCCTAAAGGCCTGGATACGATTCAGAGATGAGTTTCTGCTGGGGGGATTTTCAAGCCATCAAAAGTGCTACAAGTAGCGTCGATAGAAACACTACATACATACATGCATCTGTCAGAAAGATCAGAAAGCAAATGCACCAGCTGAAGAGATGTTCTGATCTTGAGGAATTACCACTTCCGCTAAGCGTGGGTCCAGTACCAATACCTTGACTTGAGTCTTGCATCTTTGAGTTTGCCAAGTTCATCAACTCAAACCTGGACTGTATCCAGGTTTCTGAGTCATGCCAACTATTGATTGTTCAGAGTGTTTTTGCGATACCTTTCACCGGCCAGGCAACTCGCCTCCCGTTTCAACCACGCTTACCGCGCTGCCATGGTGACAGGGTCTATTATAGTTGATCCTGCATCAGCCTTCTATGCCCTGAAAAAAACCCGAGTCAGGTTGAAACTTTTTGCATCGCCACCTCGTGTTTGTCATTTATACTTATCATATACCAAATTACAATATAAGTGGATTGAATAGATTTCAACTAATAGTTTTTTCCCGAATGCGTAGCGAAGGGCTCTCGTTTATAGTGGGGGTGTGGGGGTTGGACTGTGTTCGCCTCGCGTGCTCTGCCTCGTCGTCTCTCGTCGTCGTAGGGTCCCACTGAGTCCCGTAATTTGTCCCCATTGGGCGAAGCTTTTGGAGAAGTTTGTCGATGCCGGGTCATCGTCAGATTCGTCGCAAATAGCGTGGTTTTGGGATGTTGGATTTGGGAGGATGAAGTCAGAATGAATTCACTGCGCAAGCGCAGCGTTTCGTGAGATCCGCAGTTTTCTGCGTAGTCACATCGGGATTGGTGTTTGGAGGGTGGTGTTTTGGGGTGTTGGATGTGGCTGTGCCATTGCGATTTGCGTTTCAGGCTGTTGCTTCGAAGCTGTGTTTTGTGACAAGTCTCAGCTACAATGACGATTTTGGTGGCTGGGAGGGTGATCTGAACGTGTCGAAATCATTCCAAACGTGTGGTGTGGTGCAAGTTTTGTTGAAGCTAACATGATATGATATGGTCACTTTTCGTGGCAGGCACAGTACTTTGAGGTGTGGAAGTACGATTTTCGTATATTTTCGTGGCAGGCGCAGGGAATCGTGAGGTTGCAAGGTGTGGCGGAGGTGACATTTCGTGGCAGGCGCAGTACTTTGTGCGTGTTAGACGTGTGGACGTGCAAATTTTCGTGGCAGGTGGCAGGTGTGGTGGGGGTGAATGTCGCTGTGACATTGGGACTGGCGTGTGGGCGGGTGTTGTTTGGAGGGGATGGAATCGCGAAACTATTTGGCAGTCCTGCTTGATGTCCGCGCTTCGATGGAGCTTCCTGCTTAACTTTTGGAGGACGTTTCGTACGAACTATACTGGTTGGAGACTTTGATAATAGTCACTTTTGGAGGATGTCTCGTACAAAACGCTCGTTTTGGAGACTGGACGCGTGCCTTTTGGAGGAAATCTCGTATGAAGCGCTCGTTTTGGAGACTTGGCGCTTGACTTTTGGAGGAAGTCTTGACCGAAATGCTCATTTTGTAGGATCAAGTGAGTTTTTGAAGGTGTCTCGTACGAAACGCTCGTTTTGGAGACTGGACACGTGCCTTTTGGAGGAAATCGCGTATGAAACGCTCGTTTTGGAGACTTGACGCATGACTTGTGGAGGAAGTCTCGTACGAAACGCTCATTTTGGAGACTTGCCGTGGGAGTTTTTGGAGGAAGTCTCAGTCTCATATGAAACGTTCGTTTTAAAGACTTGACGTGTGACTTTTCGAGGACATCTCGTACGAAACGCTCTGTTTTGGAGACTTGACGTGTGACGTTTTGGAGACTTCAAGTGCGAGTTTTGGAGGAAGTCTCGTGCGAAATGCTCGTTTTGGAGACTTGACGTGTGACTTTTGGAGGAAATCTCGTACGAAACGCTCGTTTTGGAGACTTGACGTGTGACTTTTCAAGGAAGTCTCGTAAGAAACGCTTGTTTTGCAGACTGGGTCAGACTGAGTCTTTGAGGAGGTCTCGCGCGAAATGCTCGTTTTGGAGACTTGACGTGTGACTTTTGGAGATCTCGTACGAAACGCTCGTTTTGGAGACTTGACGTGTGACTTTTGGAGACTTCGGAAGTCCCCCGCACGAGTGTCCCACAAGAGTGCCCCATACAGAGTCCTACAGGAGTGTCCCACAAGAATGACAAACAAGAGTGTCCTACAAGAACGTTTCGCGAGTGTCCTACAAGAGTGTCCCACAAGAGTGACAAACAAGAGTGTCCCACAAGAGTATCCCCCAAAAGTGTCCCGCAAGAATCTCCTACAAGAGTGCCCCACGAGAGTGTCCT